AAATGAGGTGAAAATTTTATTAAATGATGAAATTTTCCTTTATTTATACATTTAATATTAACTTATTTTTTGATTTTAATTCAAGAGGCATGTCATTAATGCTATAAAAGTTGGAAAAATTGGTTACGAAGAAGTTCTTGTTAGCGTTAATGAACCTGGTGATATTGTGGTTTGGTACACATCAAATCTTGATAGGAGACCATTACACTTCAGGTACATACAACCTTTTTAAATCAATTAATCAAGTATTTCTTTTAATATTGATGAATAATAAATATGATATGAGGTTTAATTTTTCAAGGAAATAAGGAAATGATTTATACATTGCATATAACATCATAAATAAAGTCATAATACATCGACTTGGGGTATAGCATTGAATGGACCAAAACGTTTATTAGCAGTTAGTGCAAATTCCCATGAAATAACCATTTTTGATCTAAAAGGTGGGAATTCAATATATTCAGATGAAAATAATGACGATCAAATTGAAAAAAATCATGATGATTCTGATGATAGTTTAGATGGTTCACAACAATCAAGAGGAAGGAGAGTGAAGATGAGATACGCAACAACGACAACAGAACTATCATCATTACAAAATAAATTTGGAAATGATGAGGCTAAATATATATTAAAAGGCCATAATCACAATATTCCAAATATTTCATTTAGTAATTGTGGTCGATTTTTAGTTTCTTGCAGTCTTGATCGAACATGTAGAGTTTGGAATGTTAAAACTGGTGAGGTAATCAGCACAAGAAAAGTTAGTAGTCATGGGTAAGATATATATGTGTGTGTGTGTAATTGATTGCTTAGTGTCTGTACTATTATTATTTATCAATAATAGTAATGATTATCTTTATTATTATTTTTTTATTCATAATTATGTAAAGGGGATGGTCGGCATGTTTTGTATCAACACATTCTTTTGTAAAAGTAAATTCTAACATCGAATTTATCAAAGATCCATTTGAATTAAGAAGAAACAGAAGAGTTGTAGGTGTATCACCTTGGTCTCCAAATTGGTCACCACAATATCCACCACCGATACCAACACAACAACATGCACAAACATTGCCACATTATTCAGCGACATCACCGCCTCATTTTGCGCCAACAATACCAACATATTCACCACCAATATCGCCGTCATATTCACCAACATCACCATTATATTCGCCAACATCGCCACATTATGACCCAACATCACCAACACATTATTCACCAACATCGCCACAATACAACCCAGCATCACCAATTCGTGACGATTCGCGTACTTCAGATATTCTACAAAATCTAAGGAATGGTAATATTATAATTCGTAATCCTCGTGTTGCAATTCAACTTTTAAATAATATTCATGCCTACCAAGATATTATGGCTTCTTCAGAAACAGAATATGAAGACGGGTATTATGACAATACGCATGAAAATGATGACGAGAGTCAAATATCAGAGAGTCAAAATGACGAAGGTGAAGAAGAGTTGGAAGTGGAAGTGGAAGTGGAAGTGGAAGTGGAAGAGGAAAGAAGAACCGGGGGTAATAATGATAATTTATATTACGTTGATACCTTTTTTTTTATCAAACCCCCCCCCCCCCCAATTTAAAGTTTAATTATAATTCACTTTCAATTTGAATAAGGTTGGTTTCATGACGATGAAGCAATGAATGACGACGATGATATTTATGGTGGTGAAATAAGCAACGGCACTATTGACGAAGAAGCGTCATTATCAATTTCAGAACGTTCTTCTGATGGTATATGATTATTATTTCTATAAAACTTTATATATAAAATATACAATAAATTTTAAATTAAAATTATACATGTATATTATATATAGCATCTACAGGTAATTCGCAAATATTAAACTTGGAGTTATCACCACCCAGGGTATATACAGATATAAATGATGAACTAGTATATATTCACACGCCAATTCCAGAATTACCGCCGCCAACTAACCTTCCACCCGATTCCTCATTTACAGGTAAATTCTCCATCTTCTAGAACTATTCAAATCTTAAATATTTTTTATATAATTAATTTTAAATTTATTAAAATTTTTAGGAGGTTTAAGTGCGACAACAAGCAATACAGAAAATAATAATAACAATAATCGTAATAATTTTTTGCCTGAAATAAATTATTATTCAGATCTAGCACCTCTGCCACCACCACTACCATCATCATCACAATCACCACTAATACCACGATCACCTCGTAGTGAAATAATGCACACAATTCCATCTTGGGTACAAATGCAAGAGGGTATTAGCGAATACAGATCAATTGATATAGATCCAGATCAAAATGATCAAGCCGAATCAAATCTTATGCGACGATCACGGCCTAGAATCCTAATTGATCCAGTACAAAATGATCAAGCTGAAACTATACATATGCGATCAACACGTTCACCAACTTCGCCATTTATGATTCCGTTCGATTCAATTAGATTATCAGACCAAGACGATAATAATAATGATAATAATGACAATAATAGTATTAGCAGTAGTAATAGTATTAGAAATTCAACAACAACTAGAAACAATAAAAACAAAATATTATCCACATCGTCTAAATCACAGCTACAATTATCATCATCATCGGATGCTAAAACAGAAAATGAATTGCCAATTGATCATCTTGTGCTTTTCACTTCTCAAAATGATTTGTTTCTTTTAGATCCAATATCTGGTTTGAAAATTCTTTTATACGAGAAAAATATTTGTTCAAGTCGTGATTCTAGGAATATTATTGGTTTGAATGATTTTGATCGATTAAATATGGTCGAGGTAATAGATAAGAAATAAATAAAAATTTTCCCCTAAAAAATTATTTTTAATAAATTTTTTTGTATTTATGATGATTAGTGGATCCCAGAATTTTCATTGGCTGTTGTGGCTAGTCAAAAAGGAAAAGTAGCATTGGTGAGATTGGTTATGTATGTATTTAGAATTTGCGCATATTGCAATTTCTGAAAACTTTATAAATATTTTAAATATTTATTTTTATTATTATTGTAGGAGTGCTGCAAATAATGACAAAAAAAAATATTCTTTTGTAAAGGAAAAGTTTTTGCCTGAAACCAATTTACCCAATGCATCATTATTAGGTAATAATTATAGGCCATTATTTTAATTAATTGTTGTATTTGATAATTCTATTAACGTGTTATTTAAAATTGTCTTTTAGGCATGTTTATAGTAAAGAATAATCATTTACAAGACCCATCACTATTTCATTATTTTCTATATTTAATGTATTATGATGGTAGTATGTATTGTTATGAGATACGTAAATCAGGAAAATCAAATCCTTTAAGATTAGATAATATCTTCATATAATATAATATAATAATAATAATAATAGTAATAATAATAATAATAATAATAATAATATAATAATAATAATAGATTTCCCTGGATGCTTTAATATTTTATTTTTGTATTATACAAAAAATATTTTTAATTAATTAATTGTAATTTTTTAATTTCCTCCTGATAGTTTATTATAATTTATTTTATTTGTTGGCGGAATTAAAAATATTGGAAATGGTCTTGTGAATTCAGACATTTAATTCTATTTATAATTGAACCTTATTATTTAAACCGAGTTCTCCAATGTACAATCAACCCCCTCCTCTAAACTTGCACTTTCTGAGGATAGATGATTTGGAATAATAATAATACTAATACTAACTTATGACAAAATAATGTTGCATGATTTTCATTGTACATATCATGTGAAGGTCACAGGCATGCATTTGGGGAGGTTGGTTTTATATGGTTGGGAATGAAAAAAGACTGTGCAGTGCAGGTATAGAGGGGTGCACTTATCTCTTAAGTCTCAAGCTTGGGAATGAGTGAGTGCGTGCATTTAGAGAGGGCATGCATTTATGGAGGTGAATTTAGGGGGTTGACTGTAGTACAATTGGTGTAGTCTTGGACCTAAGGTTAGAAAAAATGTCTGTATGAGTTATTTTTTATGCTCATGAAAAATTATAAACATTGAAGTAAAAACTAGTTAATGGAAACCATGCAAATATTACCCAGTTCCTTTGCAAAATTGTTTAGTCTAAAATAGTGAAAAATTGCATCTTGCATGATGTAATAAGGGACTCTAAATATCTTTACCCAATTTGATAATAATCAATGTTATATGGTGAATACTGTAACACAAACCAGACAAAGTGAACATTTAAGTCAGGATTTCAGAGATCAAAAATCTAGCAAAATTAACATCACAATTATACAGGAGGCATTCATTTTACCAACAACTCAGGGGGTTACATTTAACCTCCACATAATCAAACAACTAATAAAATGCTGAAGTGGTGTGCCATGTGTTGTTGGTAAAATGAACTGTTGGTAAAATGATTGTTGGTAAAGTAATACATATCCAATTATATTATATATATAATTTTTATTATCTATTATTAAATTACAAATTATATTTTTAAAAAATATGTACTATATATTTTTAATCAAAAACATTTAATATTTGTATTAATTTTGGACTACAATATTAATATTATTTATTATAAATATATAATTGTATGTCAAGGTAGCATGACTGAAATACAAAATAATTTCATTAGGTTTACTAATTTGATTAAATAATTCGGATTTTCCATCAACAATTTCCAAAATCTTATTAAGCCGCAATTCAAATATGAAATATTTGATTATCAGAAATTGGCAGATGTTGAAGCATGCATGCTACCATGAACACTTACAGCCATTCTCACACATTCTTCATGTTCACAAGGCTAATCTGACCGAGGCATCCTTGATGATATATACAATGATGCAACAGAATTCCAGGAGAGGGATGTTTGGCCCCAGAGTTTACTGAGACTGCATCAATTGTCAATGACACTTCCACTAATCTTCCCTCACAGTACCCGACCAGAGAAGGCTACTGAAATGTTAGCCAAAAAGTCATCTGCAATGATCTACCTCTAAGGTAAGGATGGCTCTGTGATCAACTTGCAACTCTGTTGATGAATGGTAGTGCCATGTAAACATCCAGATCTATCAAAGCAATGAGAATCTGCAACTCATTTCAAGCTCAGGAGGTTGCATTTCAAAGCAGGTTGGTGACCCTGAAATTGCATTTGTTAAGAGGAAAGTTGTAAAATAGTGTTTGTTTTGTATATTTATTTCCCTAAATTGTTTCTTTAATCCTAACTAATTTATAATTTTGGGTAGGGGGTTTTACCCAATCGTTCCTAAGGTTTCTGGCCGAAACTCTCTTTATTAATAGTCAAAATTGCTGAAACACTTTGGGTAAAATTACTTTTTTATAAGCCCAACTATTTTTTGTTATTAACTGAAATTGGGTGAAATTACTTTAAAGTTGTTTAAGTTAAAATAAGTTGATTGGTACGTATAGTTTTTTAATGTTCATGTTATACATGCAGCCCAAATTGGTTTGGTGATTTTGATGGTAGAAAGTAGAAATTAATTACGGCATTCACTATTAAAAACATAAGTGTAACACCCCTTTACTACATGTGTAACCTCCTTTATGACAGTGTCAAAATACTTTGGGCTGCATGTATAGTTCATGTTTATAAAAAATGCTGAGAAGCCCAAATTGCCCAAACTAGTTTGGGCTTTGAGAAAACAGTTCAGACTGGAAACCTTAATCAGTAGTGCAAGCATGTAAAATACAGCTTGTGATGTGCCCAATAAATATATAAGATAAAATAAATGTAAAAGTCCAATATATAAATCTCCCTGTATCTGCACACAGCTCAGGGTTCTCAATACTCTATACCAGGCCTCTGTATCCACGCACAGCTCAGAGCCTACTTAATATTCTATTGCACAATTCTCACTCTACAGTACTAATGCTAAGTACTGTTGGCACTAGCCTAAGATAATAAAATAAAAAGAATATATATATACAAGAAATATTTACTTGAGGCATCCCTACAAGCAGCATAGAACAATCAAACCGGGGGGGGGAGGTTTCTAACTAATGATTAGTGGCCAGACCACTAATCATTAGAGAGGACCATGGAACAATTCACAATGGCTTTTCCTGTTAACTATGTAAAAATTCATAATAAGGTAAAATGTGTTTATTTAATTATTAACAATGGGGGGAGGTATTTATTCAATTGTTATAGATCATTATGAATGTTATTAACATGATCCACACAATTTCACTTGGTCTAAAACCAAGCCTTTTTGTACCTCTTGAGCTATTACAAATAACATGACCTTTACAATACTTTGCCCAATAAAATATGCTTATTAATCCTATTTTCTGTATTACTAGCTTACCAATTGCTAATTACTAATGTTACTAAATATTTGGGTCAACTGAGCAATACAAATAATTTGATTAATAATTACAATAAATATAGAAAGATGATTGTTAATTGTGATGTAATATTTAGCGCATTGTGTGACTTCCATAGTAAGTTCATTCTAATTGGTCAATATTAACGGGAAATTGGTTGGTCCACAGTTTACAATCTTACAGTAGTTAAAATTATCACATGTTTATACACATCCTTATGGCCAACAAGAAAAAAGTCATACAATGGTTTGGATTTTGGTATGTTATATATTAATTAATCATTTCCATAAATTTTCTGTTTCTTTAATGTTTATTTGACCAACTGAATTTGTTATTTTTAAATGGGGCTTTTGCCTATACAACCCGCCCTAGGTTAAAGGAGTGTATCTCGATGAGAGCATGTATCTTACAAGTACAAAGGTGGCAGTTCAACTCTGCTTATTCCTATTGTGATAGTCACCATGATCACTGGTATCAAGGAGAAAGCTGTAAAATAAAATGGTTTAAATTTTGTTTGGTATGCTATAAATTAATCATTTTCATAAATTCTCTGTTTCTCTTTAATTTTTATTTGACCAATTGAACTTGATATTTAAATTTGGGTAGAGTTGTTGGTGAGCAGCCATGCCACAAACAAGACAGCAACCTAGGACTCAAACTCTGAATTCAAGGAAAATCCAAAACAGCAACTTGGGTTGCAACCCTCTGAGTTGCAGAATTTTGTACCAGTTAAAGACTAGTGCCGTAATCCAAAAAAGGAAAAAGTATGGTTGCAAAAGTGGTCGCAAAGGTAATTGCAACCACTTTTTATATGCCGTAAATACAATTACTACCATCATCATAATTTACGGCACTAGTCTTTAACCCATGTAATACTTTCTAATTTAATACAGTTATTGAATATTTTTGTTAACTCCTGGTTTACTTCATCATTATGAAATATTGATAAGTCTACTAGATTTTTATTGTGCAATTGATTGAAATAGCTTTCCTAAAAATTCAATATCATTTTGAGTACCATAAACATTCAGATATTTAAGAGTTTTTCCATTGATACTAATAAATTTGTCTTATAACTTACCCCAATTTAGGGTTTCATTCGTAATACAAATTCTTATTCGAATTATTCGTAATGCGGCCAATCTTTAATTCGAATTAAAAAATTTATTCATTTTATTTGTTTTATTCACTTTATCCGTTTTATTCAAATTGCTAGTTTATTCATTTATAAAATATAGGTCTTATTTCTTTAACAAGATAATATAAACAATAATTATATTTATAATCTATGTTACTACTATAATTGCTAGAGAAAAGTCTGATAGAAATGGTTAGCTACGAATGCATAACTACACAGATTCAATATTTGGCTGTGAAATACTTTTCAACCATTTTACTCTGTCACCATAATAAAGATGAGCAGATTTAAATCTTAATTTTAAAGTCTTCAAATTTTTAAGTGCTGGTAATAATATTTGATCTATATTGTTTGATCCATTACTTGAATAATAAATTATTGATTGAGAATATACATGGGATGGTAATTGCCTAATTACTATAAGTACGTAATACGCAATCATCGTAATTAATTACCATTTTCCTCTTTTAAAAAACGCAATTACGAAATCAATTACCGTATTACGGCCGACGAAATTAATTACGGGCGACGAAACTAATTACGAATAACAACGAATTAATTATCGGAAATATCATAATACAAGCCACTCCCGTTATAAAAACACTCTCCGTACAAGCAAAAAAATGTCAGTATGACGAGAATGTCATTATAACGGGAGTTCATATAGAAGTCATATGAGAATCATTATCATGTGATTTTGTATTATTTTTATTATATTTTTTTTTTATTTCATTCATGTTATTATTATAACAGAATAAATTCTATAATTCTAAAAAAAAGTTGACAAATTATGTCATTATATTAGTATAACGAGATAAGTAAATGCGTCATTTAATTTCGTCGCGCGTAATTAATTTCGTAAATAATTTCGTAAATTACGTATTACGTATTACGTTTTTGGCAAATCAATTACCATCCCAAGTATAATTGAGAATGTGTAAGAATTGCTTTTTTTAAATTATCTGATGAATTAAAGTTTAAATCAAAATAAATGATTAATTGCTTTATTTGATTCTGTGCTTTGATTAGTTGAGCCAGACTATTTTTAAATTTATTATTACATCTACCAAATATACTTAATGATTGAATATGTTTGCAAATATTTGCTAATTTTTCAATAAATTCATTACTAATATTACGATAACAAACTAATTTATTAAGATTCCAAAACTATTATCAAATTTACCAGATAAGAAGTTGTATTGAAAGTGCAAAATTTTCTAATAACTGCTGAATCTAAAATAAAATTTGCTAATCTATATTGTAAAATATCTAATTTGGAAGTATTTGTCAGCAATTGATAACAATGATGAATAAATATAGTGCAAAATCTAGCATAATTATATAATGGTGGCTTATCCAATAGCTTAAAAGTCAATTTGATGCTATTTCTTGTTAAGAAATCCTTATCTTCCTCCAACAAACAATTAATTATTATCTTGATGCTGTTTTTAGAATAAAATGTATTTTTCCATAAAATTGGAATATTAATATTGTGCCATTGTTTATTGAAAAGAATGCAAGAATATAATGTTTTGTAATCATAGTCATTGTATTTAAATATTGCAGTTAAAATTTCAAGTGGTAAAGTCATTGTTAGTATAAAGAAAAATTTTAATTTTTGTTGCACAACAAAATTATTTTTTTTTCCAAACCAATTAATAAAAATTTACAATAATTTAGTTTAAAACCCTAAGTTTTTTATTAATTCACTAATTTTTGATAATCCTTGAACTTTATTGTAAAAGGTTTAGGTCCACTCCAATTCTTTGTTAGGTTATCAAAAGAATTGACATTGATAGTAGAAAAATTACAACAAAACATTATTGACTTTAATTTTTTTGGTAATATTTGATTTAGTACTGAAAATATTTTATCATCATTAAATATATACATTAAAAAAAATCTAAATGTAATACTTTCTAATTTAATACAATTATTAAATACTTTTGTTAACTCCTGGCCTACTTCATTATTATAAAATATTGATAATTCTACTAGATTGTTGCACCATTGTGAAATTGATTGAAATAGCTTTCCCAAAAATTCAATATCATGTGGACTACCATCAACATCCAAATATTTAAGAGTTTTTCCATTGATGCTAATAAAATCAGACAAGACTGATAGAAATGGTTGCCCATAAATGTCTAACATTACATATTCAATGTTTGGAAATGTAATATTTTTCAACAATTTTACTCCATCACCATAACCAAAATAGCGTAATGTTAATTTTAAAGTCTTTAAATTGTTAAATGTTGGTAGTAATGTCTGATTTATATCGTTTGATCCATTACTTGAATAATAAATTATTGATTGTGAATGTGTGAGAATTGCTTTTTTTAAATTATCTGATAAATCAAGGTTTAAACTAAAATGAATGCTTAATTGCTTTATTTGATTTTGTGCTTTGATTAGTTGAGCCAGACTATCTTCAAATTTATTATTGCATCTACCATGTATACTTAATGATTGAATATGTTTGCAAATATTTGCCAACTCATCAATAAATTTATTACTAACAAGATCATAACTATAGCAAATTAATTTATTAAGATTTACAAATTTACAATGAATTACCAGATAAGAAGCTATCTTGGTAGTACTAAACTCTCTAATGACTGCTGAATGATCTAAAACAAAATTTAATAATCTATTTTTCAAAATATTTAATTTGGAAGCATTTGTCAGCAATTTAGAACTAAAATGATTGAAATGAAATCTAGTGCAAAATCTAGCATAATTATATAATGGTGGCTTATTCAATAGCTTAAAAGTCAATTTAATGCTATTTCTTGTTAAGAAATCCTTATCTTTTTCCAACAAACAATTAATTATTATTTTGGTACTGTTTTCAGAATAAAATGGATTTTTCCATAAAATTGGAATATTAAGATTGTGCCATTGTTTATTGACAAGAATGCAAGAATATAATGTTTTGCAATCATAGTCATTGTATTTAAATATTTCGGTTAAAAGTTCAAGTGGTAAAGTCATTGGGGTGCGCGACATTCTAAGAAAATCAAAACTAATTAATGTCATATATTGATTGGTTATATGTGGTTTTTTTTTGTGATCTACAGGATTTCTGAAATTTACGTAAAGAATATTGTTTTCAAAACACAACTCCTCCTCTGTTTTCAAAGATATAGGCATCAAGTTTCCATAAAAGGTAGTATATACATTATAATTTAGAGGCATGGAAAAATTTAATGGATTAAAAATATCAATGGCTAAATAAACCCATTCGAAATACAGAAAATTTCTTTTTTTGTTGTAGTACTTCTATATATTGCAACTTCTGAAAAAATTGTATGAAATAAAGATCTTCTCTCCATAGCACTGCTCTACAAATGTATCCTGATTAAAAACCTCTGATAATTTTATAAATGTAATGATTTTCCAGAAGCCTTAGCGATTGAAAGTTCGTAATACTAATAAAACGCTAATAAAACATGCTGTTTTCAAACCACTACTCCTCATCTGTTTTCAAATATATAGACATCAAATTATCGTACAAGATAGTATATGTAATATAGATTAGAGCTATGGAAAGATTTAATGGATGTAAAAATACCAATGGCATAAAAAAGCTCATTTGAAATACAGAAAATTTCTTCTTTATCATAATACTTCTACCTATCACAACTTCCGAAAAAATTGTATGGAATAAAAATTAACTCTCCATAGCACTGTTCTACAAATGTATTTTGATGAAAATCTTATAAATTTAACGATTTTCCAAAAGCCTTAGCGATTGAAAGTTCGTAATACTAATAACGTAATAATAGTCAAACGATTTGTCACATTAAACGATTGGGAAGTGTATTTTCCGAAATTTTTTGGTGATCAACGTCGAAATTCTATTAAT